GGTTCAATGGGCCAATCAGTCAACCAAATCAATCAGCTATCAAAATCAACTAACCAATCAACCAACCAATCAACCAACCAAACAATTAACCAACCATTCTACCAACCGATCAAACAACCAACTAACAAACCAATCACTCCACCAACCGACTGACCAACCAATCAACCAACCAATCAATTAACCAATCAATCAGCCTATTTTTTATTCTACCAATTGTTCAATCAGCTTATCATCTAATCGACTGTCCTTCACTACCAACCAACCAACCAACTAGCTGGCTAACAAGAACTATAACATCAACCATCCATTTTTTAAAATATCTATTAATAATAATAAGAACAGTACCAACAATAAATAATAATAATAAAAAGAAGAACTTTAAATAGTAATAAAACCATAATTATTACCATCAGTTACATTAACGCTTTGTTCCTTCCTGCATTCATTCATTTGTTAATTTATTAATTTATTCATTCATCATTCTACCATTTGTTAATTAATTAATTAATTCATTCATTCATTCATTTAATGTATATTTAAACAACAATAACGAAAATAATAACAATCGTTTAATGTTTTTATTTTCATTCGAGAAATGACGCTGAAATTAAAGACAACGAAAATTTAATCAGCATCATCAAAGTCATAATTATCTCTATTTGGCGAGTTCAAGTCTAAATTACAATAATAATAATAATAAAAAGGAAAATAATAGCAATAATAATAATAATATTATTTGAAAAAAAAGCAACAAGACCATCGAGAAAATGTGATTAGAGTTTAAAAGCCTTGAAATGATAAGATGTTGAAATAAAATTCGCGCTGTTTATAAAAGAATCAAGAGGTAAGAAAGAAAATTCAAAAAATGAATGAACGAGTGAATGAGTGAATGAACGAATGAATGAGTGAATGAATGAATGAGTGAACAAACAAATGAGTGATTGAATAAATGTATAGATGGATGGATGAAATGTTTCAATCAATAAACGAATCAGGGAATTTACGAGTGAATGAACGCTGAATGAATGAATGAAGGAACGAACGAACGAACGAATGAATAAATGAATGAATGTATTGAATAAAAGAATGATCAAATAAATGAATGGATAAATAGACGTGCTAACGGATTGATAAATACATAGGGCTATTATTTTCTAAATGTTTGTTGTTCGTCATCCAAACAATATCTCATATCGTTATTATTAATAATGTTTATAATAATTATTATTATTAATAATAATGTTTATAATAATTATTATTATTATTATTATTGTAATTATTATTATTATTTGTGATTTGTTATGAAATCATATTTCCTTAGCCCAAAAATTAACTACAGAACGACTAGAGTAAGATGCAATTAAGTATATGCGAATAACGATAATAATTTAGTAATAATAATAATTATTATTATATAATAATATCATTAATAATAAAAAAAATTATTATATTATTATTCATTATTATTACTCCAGCCATGATAATAAAATCAAAATTTGTACCAGCATGTTTTTGATGTTGAAATATAACTACGTACGTATTTGGGTGTGTGTGTATGTATGTGTGTATGTTTGTGTGTTTTTGTATATATATATATATATATATGTGTGTGTGTGTGTGTGTGTGTGTGTGTGTGTGTGTGTGTGTGTGTGTGTGTGTGTTGGTGCAGACAAGTTTAAAGTGCAGCACTAAAGACATACTAAATAAATAAAACTTTAACGATTTTTGATTACTCATCCAAAATTATAACGCTTGATTTACTCGTGAATTAAATCAAGCATTCATTCATTTATGCACTCATTCGTTCATTAATTAATTAATTAATTAATTAATTCATTCATTCATTCATATATTCATTCATTCACTCGTTCGTTCATTCATTCATTTATTTGAGTATAAAAAAAGTCATTTTATCTACTACTGAAAAAAACTACAACACCAGTCGTAAAATATGAACTCTGATACGTTGTCAATTTGATTCAGTTGGATAACTAATTAAATGAACTAAACAAAGAACATACATGTATATATTTCAATCATTTTTTCATCACCATCATCGTCATCATCATCATCCTTATCATCGTCATAATCATTACCCAATCATTACATCATCATCGTCACAAGCATAAATATTAAATTACCGAATATATATATTCCATATATTCAATCTATCCATTCATCATAATTCAGATTATTCGACGCATTACCTTAAACGATCTCTTTCTCTCTTTCTCTCCCTCTCTCTCTCTTTCTCTCTTTTTTTTTCTTCTTATCATCGTCTCAACATGACTTCTTATCACACCAATTTACTTAATCTCTCTCTTTCTTTCTCCGTTTTTCACCCTACAACTTGCACATCATTTGTCATTTGTCCTCTCTCTCTCTCTCTCTCTCTCTCTCTCTCTCTCTTTCATTCATTCATTCTCTCACTCATTCACCTTTCATTCCTTCTCTCGTTTTATCCTGTCTCTCTCTCTTTCACTCAATCTCTCACTCATTCACCTTTCATTCCTTCTCTAGTTTTATCTCCCCCCCCCTCTCTCTCTCTCTCTCTCTCGCACTTTCACTTCTCAATCTCTCACTCACTCACTCTCTTAGGGAATGGTCTTGACACACTTCTTCTTGATGACGTTGACCGTGATGGCGAACGTAGCCAGGATGGTGAAGCAGATGGCCAGGGCTATGCCCGCCTGCATGCCGACGTCGAACCCCTCATGGGCGTTTATACCTTTAGGGAAGGGATAAAGATTGTTGTTGTTGTTTTTGTTGTTGTTGTGTTGTTTTTGTGTTGTTGTTATCGTTGTTGTTGTTGTGTTGTTGTTGTGTTGTTGTAGTGTTGTTGTTGTGTTGTTGCTGTTAGTAAACAGAAAAAAAAACAGTAGAGATAGTAGCGTTAAATTGTTCCATCGATTTATGTCTGGTTTGGGATGAAGATGATTTAAGTACATATTTTCATTTTGTTCTTTCCAGAAAAATTATTTATTTTTTTAATTTATTTATATTTATTCATTTATTAATATAATTTTTTTCATTTTAATTAATTTCATGCTGATTTTATCAGCAAGAGTTCCCTAATCAGCGCTAACTGGTTTCGAATCCTCGTTGTTTCTAAATTATAAACGTGGACTGGTACGTGTATGTATGTGTGTGTAGGTATGTGTAAGGTATTTATGTGTATTTACACGTATACAATACATAAATACATTAACAAATATACACATGTGTTTGTGTGTAAATGTGGATATGTATATGTTGGTGTGTGTATTTGTGTGTGTACCTGTACATCTAGTGGAGTGTTTCAACTCTAATTGAAGCTGTTGTTGTTGTTGTCTATAATACATAATTGAGGTATTAGACAGTTAGATATATGAATTTTTTTTTCATTATTTCGAAACAATAGTTCTTAAGTTGAACAGCGTGTGTCAAAATTTTACGTCTATTAAACTAACGTAACTTGAACCACTATTACTATTACTGCTGCTGCTGTGGCTGCCACCACTACTTCTACGACGACGACTACTACTACTACCTCTACTACTACTACTACTACTGCAAATAGTTCTGATAACGAATACTGATAAATAACAAAATTAAATGATAAAAAATACTAAAGAACTTACTTTCTTGTGCGGATGCAAAAGAACCGACAAAGACGATGATGTAGAGGAATGAGTTTATCATTTTCAGAGTAGAAAATTGTTTTTTTTTCTGGAAAATCTTTAAAAAAATGAATCATATCATTTTATTTCACAATACTATCATTAGAAATATTACATATTATTCTTTTATTAGTCGTAATAATCATTTTATTTCCAGTATCTTAATATCTTAAAGGCTTATCACAAATATATAAAAACATTTTCAAGGTTGAATATATCATACAAATTCAACTATAAACTAGATATAACATCGTAATAACCACCAATTAGTTTCATAATTTAAGTAAATAAATAATCTAATTAGTAAATGAAAAACAACTAAATGGACACATACTTTCTTATCTTGGAAAGTAAAATTTATTTTAAATGAATAAATATTTTTTTCGAATCTTGCTAAAAATGAAAGATGGAAAAACGAGAAATCTCAATTGATCAATAACATAAGCATAATGCAATGCAGCGAGGCTGTATATATATCTATATACATACATACATACATACATACATACATACATACATACATACATACATACATACATACATACATACATACATACATACATACATACATACATATACGTATATATTTACTTGTATGTGTGTGTGTGTGTGTGCGTGTGTGAATGAGTATATATGTGTCTGTGTTTGTGTATGTACAGTGTATATATAGATACAATAGCTATATGAATGAATTTAGTGTTAACATTCACCATTTACTATATATTATGTATCGTTTGTGTATACATACGCTCAGACACGCACGCACACACACACAAACACACACAAACCACACACACACACACATATATGTATATGTATATACATATAATTATATATGTATGTATACGTGTTAGGTATATAGCACGCATGGAGCACGGATTCACCGGATTCGATGTCTGAAATTTTTTTTTCAGATTCTTATTTGAAAATGTAAAATTATTTTTATTCGAGGCTGATTAATCCATCTCAGGTGTTAAAAATAATAATGAACATTAAGCAAATAGCACAAGAATGAAGGCCTTTTACACTTTAAAATAACTATAAACAAAGTCATATACAACTTTGTAATCATGAAATAAAATATTACAATAGCTATAAACAAAGTCATATACAACTTTGTAATCATGAAATAAAATATTACTTATCACTTTCTTTTCAACTCAAACAAAAATTTGTTCATATTTCTGAACGCGCGCACACACACACACACACACACACACACACACACACACACATACGAACAACACACTCCAGTTCGTACAAACACACACACTGACTCCAAAACACATATACAAACTCCAACTCCCTTAATAGCCCTGTTATTTAATGACTTCGTATAGCATCAACGCTGGATAATAATTTATGTAAAGTTGACGTAATAATTTTTGTTCTCTTAAACGATATCATGTTTGTGATTGTTTCAAAAAATTGAAATAAATTAATTCATTATACATTACTGAAATGAAACGCAATTGAAGCCTAGGAATTAAACTATAGCACTTTAACATAACTTTGATCTGACAACATTGGGGTTACAGTTATTATGTGAACATTGGAGTGTCCATCTGTCATTCGATAAACTCCTCTGAACACCTCAAACAAGAAAAGTTCCGACGCGTTGGATCACGAAGAGGGCACTAAATCGCTTATTATAAGAAAATTTACTCTATCTTTTGATTTTTAAACGATGTATTTCAGAGATTATTTTATTGTAAAGTTGAATTTGCATTTAAGACTAGTTTTTGAATGAAAGTTGTGAAAATAGCTTTAGATATTCCATACTATGTATGTAATAATATTAGATGATTTTTGGATAAAATATAAATAAAGACGTTTAAAAATCAATGCGTGCTTCTTCATGCTGATCAAGTTGTTGTCGATAATTTAAAAATATTTTAAAATAGTTGTGCTTTCCAACTTTGCAATGTAACAGCCAACATAACAGCCAACATAATTACAATCACATTAATTATAGTTATGATTTTATGAAAACAACTGTTTAAATTAAAGTTTATAAAATTCGTCTACAGTAAACGAATTCAGCTTCACAGTCATTGTTTTCTTCACGTTAATTTTCATTTCTTAACGATTTAGAATCAGAGCTATTCAGTTCGTTAAATGAGAGGCTAGATGGCACCTTTTAATTTCACAAAAGTTTCAATCAATTTATGGAACCTTTTAATTTTTCAAAGGTTCCAAAATATCTTCTTGTGTTTGGTCAACGTTTAGTGGCTAGTTGTTGCTTAAGTTTCGCCTCCATCATATTCTTCATCTCCTTCCTCCTTAGTTGCAGTTGTCTTTTGATCTCCATGCTGTCGTGAATGATGATGCTGGCCCTCGTTCTGGAGGTGCCTTCTTGTGGAACCTTTAGCAAGTTAGAAGGTTCTTCTTTTTAAAATTTATTCTTTCAAATATTTTTATTGGTTTGGTTTTAAAATTTCGATTATTATGTTTAAGTTTATTTTTATAGATTTGTTCGTTTTACAATTTTTCATTATTACAACCATCATCATCTTCATCATCACAATTTTTATTACAATTAATAATATAATTATTAATAAATAAATATTATAATTAATAATATAATTATTAATAAATATTTCGAACCTTAGCATTTGATCCGTTGGTAGGTACCAAGTTGTACCTGGTTAATATGTTGAGTAGTGATTCTTGGGTCAGTTCGTTTCTATCCCTCATCTCCTCCAAGGATTTTATTATACTCTTCAGTTTATCTTCGCTCGATTCCTTGAGAATGATTTGAATCATGAATGATATTTATATTACATTTTTATGGTTAGGTTTAAAATGTATCGCTAAAACTACAGATACTGAAAATTCTAAATAGAAGTTTGAGGAACGTGATTATGTAATGACTAAGATGTCTGGAATTGGTGTTGCAGAAACTGGGTTTGAATGCAAAGCAACGACATCTGACGAGTATTTGTTGGTTTGAAACTTCTGTGAAATACTTAAAAAAGAATTAAATTGTACAGCACTAATTGTGTGACATCTACTGACATATTTGAAATAAGCCTGCTTACTGAATTTAATTGATCGTAGCAAAAGGTTATACTAAAATAATTAAAAAATTATATTTAAATGTAGTAAAAAATGAGATTTAAATGACTAAAATTATAAATTTTACTCCCTACATCTCTTCTAAATATCGAGAAACGCCGATATTCATGCTTAACGACGAGATTTCTATTTTTCTTCGCCTCGCTCAAGCCGCCGATGTATTTCTGCTTCGATTGGACGTGTCTCTCGCGGGCCCTCGGCGTGGAATCCTGCTCGTATAGAATGAGATCTAGCTTATTTTTCTGAATGTCTTGCTTGATTTTCATCGCCTGGACGTGGTAGGTGTGTTCGGCCAGGATTTTAGTTACGTCCTCATCAGTGTCCTGGTTGTCGGCGATCAGCAGGGCAAACCTCTCGCACAATAATTCCTCTTCCTGTTTTGGTAGATCATTTTTTTTAATGATATTAGGATTCACAATGAACTCGGATTGAAATAGTTTGAATTGATGTTTTGAAAAAAGTTTTTAGTAGGAAAATATGAACGTTTTATTGAACTAAATGTTAAAATAGGGATTTTTGCTTGAGTTACAACTTTTTTATGAAGTTCTTTGAGTTCGTTCATGGTATATATGTGGCTGGGCAGTTCGTAGCTACTAAAATCTTGCGCAAGGTCTCCATTGAAGGGCACAAAGTGACCGCCAGCTTTACCGTTGTTATGTTTCCAGTTATTTCTATTCAGCGATTCTTTCACGAATTTCGTCTGATCTCGAATTTCTTTCAATTTATCGATGACGTCCATGTTGGAAACTTCGTACTGGTTCAGGCTCTGGAGATTAAAGAAATCCGTTTTAAAGTTCTGTCGAAAAAAAATTTTTTAGAAAGAGGAAAATTTTAAGATAATTAAAAAAAAATTTAAACTGTGCCTGCAAGGTGGAATCATCTTGAGCAAGTAACTCTTCAATGCGGATCAACTCCCCATGCAGATGACTTCTGAGATCAAGGAGTTCGCATACGAAATCCGTGTTATCGTGTATCGTATCGACTTCCGACATGGCTCGTATCGTATCGTCATGCTCCATTATTTGCTAGTAAAGTGGTTAAAATACTATCATATCGACACGCCCCATCATTTGCTAGTAAGTAAGTTGTCAAAATATTATCATATAGTTCGATTATTCGAAATGGTTTTGCGTTGTTATTTATAATTGGAAATTTTTTTGTCATGTTTCTTACTGGAATTGTTCACTTTTTAAATTTCTTTTTAGATATATACATTTTTAGTTTTGATGTATTTCAGCAACATGTTATTTAGCCAGTCTAATCTATAAACTAGTTAAAGGATGTTGTTGTATGATATAAAACAGGGGTGGGCAAAGTTTTTGCTGTGAGGGCCGCATTAAGAACTATTTTACTTTTGAAGGGCCGCATATGTACTTAAATAGCAAAATTTTTTCGACCCGGAGGAGAATTTTTTAAGATTGGCGAACAAAGCAAAGCGCAGTTTACCCACCACCGATATAAAACAAAACTATATATAACTTTCTGGGATTGTATCATGGCAAAAACTTATTCTCAACAATTCATTTTATATTATTTATGAAAAACTAAAAAACGTTTTGTTTTACCTCGTGAAACTCCTCTGCGGCTAATACCAAACAGTAAGTTTCATCGTCAATTTCAAACATTAGATTGCTTTGAGATTTCTTAGCTAGTTTTTTTTCGTCATTAATTTGTCTGGGAGCCTGTTGTTTAACATTCCAGCGAGAAGATTTCTTATCATCGCCATCTTTCTCATTTTTTTGGGGCTCTACCATTATGACACGACAGCTTGCTGGGTTTCTGAGTGGAATGTTTTTGCAATAAAAATAGTCGAAATTATTGTTATGAAGTTTTTTTGTCAAATAAAATGATATCTCTGCTAATAATTGTTAAAATGTAACGAAATAATAGAAGAATATAATTTTTTTTTGTAATAATGAATACTTTGTTGATGTGTCAGTTTAACTAGTGCTAGGTTAGTTAGTTGATAAAAGATATTTTATAAAATTTAATTGTTTATTTAATTTAAATGATTGAAAAACCGCAGACCCTTTTTTGATATTTGATGGAGTGCTGCCCATGTCAAGAATCTCTCCACTACAGTGAAATTTTTAAATAGCTAGGCATTTAAAGTAAATAATTATAAATGTTATTTTACTCTTTTTTTAAATAAATTGAAAAATAATAAATTGCGTATTATATAAAATATGTCTTGCGTCTGCTTAAACAAAAGAAAAAAATGAGCTAGTTGTTTCGTATTGTTCAATGTACCTGAAAATAGTGATGAATTATTAATCTCAAAGGTGTGTTGCTAACCCAACTTGCTTTCAAATAAGATGAATGTGTGTATGTGTGCGTGTGTGTATGTGTGCGTGTGTATATATGTCTATATGTGCATGTGTGCGCGTGTTAGTGCCTGTGTGTGTGTTTGATATTTCTATGGCTACAAAAAAGATTGTCCAATCATAAGTAATTTAGTGAGGAACTCATTCTAAGAATTATACACTTGCATAAATAATGGACGGTACTGTAGCACTGATGAAGTAATCTTTCGCTACGTTGAGAGAAAGAATTCCAAGACTGGCATATGTTGGAAATAAGGCATTTTTTCTATATTCTATTCGTTTCGCCATTGAAATTGTGTGACAAAAGTTTTTTTTTAGATTCGCATAATTTTTCATAAGTGTATCCATTCTTTCTCTACAATGAAAAGTATTCTGTAACAGATTATTTTAAACGGTCTCAATTAGAAATAGCTAAACGATCTATTCGTTAGTAGCTGTTTAATCTGAAAAATTCCTCTCTTATATTAAAAGATTTAATTAAATTAATTAATTTAATTAATTAATTTAATTAAATTAATTAAAAGAAATCCTCTCTTATAAAAGAATTAACGTAATGATACGCACTAGATGTCAAGCAATGAGATGAGAGGATTGTGATATTTTAAAACATCTATCGAGGCACGCTTATTATTTATTCATTCTTCTCATCTATTTGTCGATTCATTTTTTCTTTATTTAATTCTTTAATTATCTTTTATTATTGTTTGTTAAAAAAAAGAAAAATGTTTCATCAACATTTATTGATACATATTGCTTTTATTTCAATTTTAAATTCAGTATTTTTTGGCACATTTTAATGAAGGAATTCATTTTAAGGAAATTTAAATTCGTTTTTTCGACCAGCAATTCACAATAAAATTATAGAAAAAAAACAATATCAAACAAAATACAAGTTTTGAAATATGAACAATATTCAAAATATACGCAAAAATAGCATAAGCATTCCATTATAAAACCACATTCACAAACAGAAATTTGAAAAAGTATGAAAGCATTAGCGAAAAATCTACAGAAAATTCTCTCAAGTTGAGATCATCATTTAGGGCCGGATTTAAGATAGCCCTGGCGGGGGCTATAATCTGGGACCTCTTCATAAAAAATGCTGCTTTCGCAAAACTACAAAAGCTACTTTTTTTGAATATAGATAGATAAAACAAACGCGAATGCTTTGGTTTTAATGCAAAAGAGTGTTAAAGAAGTAGAATAAGCAGAAAAATAGTCACTAACTCTTTATAGGCTATTTAGACATCTGAAAATAATAATTAATTAGATAGATAGGGGTCTCTGCCTTATCTCTGAATCCGGCTTTACTCTCAATAAAATGTTAAGCTCTTTTCTCCAGACTATAAATAGCCGAAAGATTGTTGTTAACAATCCCGTTTCTATTATTTTCATCTGAAGAATTGACACCAGGTAATTTTTGCGGGTTATTCTCGGATGTAGGCGGAGAGGCTGACTCGTAGACGGCCTCAATACGGGGGGGTGTTGATTTGGTGGGAGAGTACATCTTGAAGTAGATGTTTCCGTCATTGTACATGATGTTGCTGTTGTCGTATATGTGCGCCTCGTCAGGCACTTGCCTCTCTTTGTCGTAAACGCTGCCGTTCAATTGGCTTCTTTGGATATTTTTATCACATTTATCGCGAACTTCGTTGTTTTTGTAATTTATAGATGAAGATTTTTGATAATTCTCTAATAAAGGAATACCATATAGGTCATTTGTAATAAGGGAGATCGGTGAAGTTTGTGACATTAATCTAGGTGAGGTCAACAAAATTGATGCCGACTCAGAAAAGTTTTTGAGATCTTGGTTCTTGTCAGATGTTTTTACTCTGTTGGTTGTACATCTCCGTGGCTGTAGTTTTGTGACCTGTTTCATCTTTTGCTTATTTCTCTTTTTCGCATTGTCCGCTTGTTTGCCGGCTGTGTTTACGTTCTTGTAAATGTGTTCACCATCGTCGCCGTGTTCGATGTTAGTGCTGTTGTCATTGTTGTTGTTGTTTGTTCGTTCATTTTTAGAAGAAGTCACGTGGTTTGTAACGTCAGCGGGAAAACTGAGGTCCACGTAATTCAAGTTTGGTAGCTCCGTAGATTTTTTTGAGTTTTTCGATTTGAATGGGAGGACTACTGCATAGTGCGAAGACTCCATCGTAAGCATTTCGTCATCTTTTGAATTTCTAAAATTATAATGTTTGAATAATTATTAGTAGTAGCAGCAGCAGCAGAAATAGTATTGTAGTAGGCGTAGTAGCAGCAGTAGCGGTAAAAGTAGTATATTATTATCATTATTATTACGTTTGTTATTTATAAAAATATCTCTTATCATCTGATTAACACACATTCAACTATTCACTCAACTACAGCAGTTCGGTCTGTAATTACAAATTACAGGATATTAAAGAAGTATTTGTTATTATTCTTATTATTTTCTTATTATTAATATTGTTGTTGTTGTTATTATTATTATTGCTGTTATTGCCACGGACTTTTATTTTGATGTTGCTATTTAATTGTTCGGGCGGCTTTCACATGTTTATTATTCATTCATATAACCATCACAATTTTCTAAGTATTATGAAAAAAATATTTTATGTAGAGGCAGTAGTAGTGGCAGTAGCAGCTGTAGTACTAGTAACAGTAGTAGTAGTAGTAGTAGTAGTAGTAGTAGTGGTGGTGGTAGTAGTAGTAGTAGTAATAATAGTAGTGGTAGTATTATTAGTAGTAGTAGTAAGTCAGTAGTATTTATAGTAATAATATTATAAGTATAATTAATAATTATTAAAAATAATCTTGACCTCTTTCTTAACCTGTGACCTAGTTTTTTGCGCAGGACTGCCCCGAGGACCACCAATAGACCGGCGATGACCGCGATGACGATTATTACGTAGAGGAATTTGGATGATGACGTAGTTGGATATGGCAGATCTGACGTAATTGTTTGTTTTTTTTTTTAATTTTTCTGATCGATTTAATTTTAATTCATCTATAATTTACTATATTTCGATTTTCGTCAATTTTATCTGTCGAAATTTAACATTTTAAAGTAATTTAAATACTTCAAATCTCAAAATAAAATTTCTAAGAAACTCTAAACTTAAAAAAAATGAAAAATAGACATAACAAAAACAAAAATCACCACCTGCATGGCATATGACGGTCACAACAGATTCAACAGTGGCATTGCAACCAGCTGCTTTCCATGTAAACCTATCAGCCACATAATTGTACTTTGTAAACATGCACTCAGTTTCCTCCGTTTCTGGGCTTTCATTTTGAGAAGTTGAACGAACTGTAAATTCTTCTCTGTCTGCTTAAAACAGATTATGATTGAAATTTTTCACTATTTCGGTTTAATTCTTTGAAATTTTAATTTAAAAGTGTTTCAAGTAGATCGAATGTGTGTACTTTCTTCTTCGCAACTGATTTTATGTATAAATCGTTTGAAATTTTTGTTAAATCATAATAAACATTACATCTTAAATTAATAAATTCATTTAGAGACATATGCTGATCATGATGATAATAGTAATGAGGATGACGATGGCGATGATGATGATGAGGAGGAGGATGGGGGTGACGATGATGGGGATCGATACCAACCTTCGCTATCTTCTTTCCAGAACCATGTATACAGAGCTTCACCAAACCAATAGGTGCGAGTGTCCAAATTTTTGAAGACCAATCTTGAAAATATATCAGGACTAGGTATTATGTGTATTAAGCTAGAATCGGCAATGGTATTTGACAAATTTTGAGGCTTGCTTGAAACGTAGAAACATTTGTTATTAATTATTATTCCTTGGCAAGTTTTGAACAGCCTGTATAATTTCTCTGGCAATTAATGAACATTTATCTAATTTCAATGTCAGAGTAGATATAACAGCATAAAAGGTAATCATTATATAAAAATTAATAAGAATAATGTTTTCATAATAATATTAATACAATTATAATAATGATATAATAGTGATAATAATAGCTACCACTACTACTACAACAATAACAACAAATACTACTAACACTACTGCTGCTGCTAAGTTACTATTACTACTACTACTCTTGCTGTTGCTGCTGCTGCTATAATACCATAAAATGATACTTATAATATTGATTAATAATAATAACTAGTTTGTAGAAGGGTCGCATGCTTCTCTGATTTATTCACCGGGATGTAGTTTATAATGAAACCATTTTTTTCTGACCATGATAGTTGCAGGGCAGCTGAAAATAATTATTTTTAAAATATTTTATTAATAAGGACATAAATGTTTTGTTAATAATTAAGTAAAGTCCCATTGATTGAAGACCTGGTTCAATCCAAACGCTAGAAGCTAACCCTATCCCATACAATGTGTTGCGTGTGTGTGTGCTTGTGTGTGTGTGTTTGTGTGTGTGTGTGTGTGTGTGTGTGTGTGTGTGTGTGTGTGTGTAACGCATAGTTTGGCGCCTAGTCGAGAAAGATGTGTTTGTGTGTTTGTTTGTTTGTGTGTTTGTGTGATGTGTGTGTGTTTTTTATTGATAAATATTAATTGAATTTAAGTGTTATAAATGAAATAATAAATCAGTCATTAGGTTATAAATTTACTCAGAATGAAATATGGCATAATAAACTAACTTGCTTTTGATTCATTCTGATCCATTGTTTTGATCCTCCTGGCATCCAATGGAATTATGAGGGGAGAACTTTCGACATTGAAATATTTTTGCAGGACAATCGAAATTTTAGATTTCATAGATTCGTTTTTGAAATCTAAAAGGTTCATAGAGTTATTTTTACAGTACTCTTTGGCGCCATCCACTGAGATGTTCATCTGACGAAGGCAGAACACTGTTCTGATTTCATGGTGATCGTCATCTCCGTCATAAGTGTTGATGCTACTGATGTTATTTTTGGAATTCATGTAGACGCAGGCTGAATTTTCAATGTCTGCTTTACTTTCGTGTAAGAAGATGGAGCCTAAGCAATAAGCGATATGACGTAATGTAACATAACATTAATATGCTAACAATTAATATTGCAACAGAGCGTAATGTAATGTAACGTAACATAACTAGAAATCAACGTATCATAATGAAATTAAAAAAAACTTACTTGTTATTAAGAACAACAAAATTTGCAAATGGCACATTTTGGAAAAACGCAAGAACGTTATCAGTGTATTATATATATATATATATATATATATATATATATATATATATATGTATATATATATATATATACATAATCGAAATACGAACTATATTTGTAAAAATTAATTAATTAATTGTGTAATTACTTCATTCATTAATTCAATTACTAAATAAATTACTCAAAAATTATAGTATAGCAGATTGATTTATTTTATTTTCAGTCGTAACTCATATTACTCGCGCATAGGGAAATAAAAATGATTTGTATTTCTGGAGACAATTTTGGCTGCACTTGCACCGTAATGGCTAATAGCTAGTTGCCTCTGAGGTAGCAAGTTATTATATAAATATATACAGTGCTAGTATATGCGTGGGTTTGTGCGTTTGTGTGTGTGCTTGCGAGTATACATAATAATTTTGTTTTTCCTCTAAATGTAGCATCATTTAATTAAGTAAACTTGCTTACGTCTGTAAGGCTAATAGCTAGCTGCCTGTGGTATAGCTAGAAACTGTGAAATCTGTAACTGCGAGTCATAATTATAGATGGTTGAAATGTTGTTGTATGTTACAATGATTATTCTACTAAAATGTGTTTTTTGTTGTATTTATTAACCCAATGACGTCAGTTGGGTTAATTAACATAGGAGGGGAAATTATTAAATAGATACAACGTATTTTTAAATTAATGGCTTATTGACGTCATACGATTTTTAGCCGTTGAAAATAAAATTTTATTTGAAATTTTGAGTTGAGGCTCAGCAAAAAATCATTAAAAAATTATTTCGTAATAATATTATAACTGATTGGTAAGTAGGGAATTGCGCACAAACAATGCGATTGCTATTTTATTAACCAAATTGATTTCTATATTTAAATCCCAATTAATCCCACGTCATCTTAATTAATCCTAATTAATCTTAATTAATTCTAGTTAATGTTAATTAATTCTATATTAATATATTCTATATTAATTCAAAATAGGTAGAGTAACGAGAAACATTTTCCTTGAAAATGGACTCTAGTTTTTAGACATTTTTTATCTGCTCCTCCCTATATTTTTCTATTAATTGTCACAAAAATGACTGACTCCGTAGTAAGCATCCTGTTATTGTTATCTAATAATTATCATTAATATTTCTATAATAATAATAATTATTATTATAATTATTTTTGTTATTATTTTTGTTGCCGTTTTGCTGTTAAATAATTCATTTTTTTTCATCTATTATCTGTGTGCAATGTAAAATCCACTAGTCCGAAATTAAAGATTGTGGCCATCCTTACATCGAAATCTTAAAAATGGTTCGATATATCACTCCAGCTGCTTAATTAATTATTATCTGACAGTCTTATGAAGCATTTGAGAAAGTTCGTTCAAATTAATACTGTTTTAATTTTCATTACTGTTTCTAGGACTTGAAAAATGCAGATAAGAAAAAATGGCAATTATTAAAATTAAATTTAAAAAATTGTTAAAGTCAACTTTTTTTGAGTTTTTTACATTTTATTATTAAATGTATAATCCATAAAATTTTTCTCTATTTGGTGGCGTCTGGGTTTACAGCTTCGGTAGTATAAACATATTCTGAAATATTTTTTCTTATGCTATTCGGATCCATGGTTATGTACCTTGGACTATCGTCGCCATCGTCATTTTCAACGTTGTTGTTGCTGCTGGAGGTGTTGTTGTTGTTGGTACTGTTGTTATTATTTCTAAAACCGTTGTAATTGTTGGCTTGATCAAGCGAGTTCTCTCTTTTGCCACCAAGTGAGTTCTGCCTCCTCCCACAGATGATACTCCTGTTTGAGATCGGTTTGTTCTTCATGAAATTTCTAGCAACCCGCTCTCCCCGCAAATTAGCCAAGTCGCCAGAATCCAGGTTGTAGAGATCCTACTCTGGCGGGTTTTTAAACTTTTTCGTCAGTGGCGTGCAGTAAACGGCGTTGTCGTCGTCTACTTATGATAGGGAGAAGAAGCTTGCCATTTTGTTTTCTACCGATAATAAGGTTGGTTCGTCTCGTTTGGAGAATATTTGAAGAGAGGTGATGGAGGAGGAGCTGGCCCATGATACCATCAACGTACCAACCGATACTGAAGTTTTTTTTTTCTTACTGGTTTTTCTGATGGTGGTTGGAGTTGTTGTGGTTAAGTATTGGTGGCTGGCTGTGATTGCTGCTGTTTTAGTGGTATAAATAGTTGTATTTGTGGCTGTTGTAGTTGCTGCTTCTGCTGCTGTTTTAGTTGTTGCTGGTTACTTTCACCAGGTTGTTCGTTAACCGTCTGAACATTTGTAAGTTCAATTGGCTGAATGGAGCATATTTTTCGGACCAAAAAAAAATCAATAATAATAATTTAAAATACACAAAATTTTGTATTTTTAAAAATTTCATAGTGTGGTGATTATTCTACTTTTCGTTTGGGTTACCTGAATAAAATATTGTAATTGTACGATTGATAACATTACGTAATGGTGCTTTTTTTTAGTTTAGGTCATTTAAGACGTTTATGAAATAAATATTCTGATTAGACCAGGGGCAGGCAAACTACGGCCCACGAGGTGCATGTGGCCCACGAAGCTATTTTATGCGGCCCGCGAGGCCTTGTTTGACAAAAAACGTCGTTAGCAGACATTATGACCAAAAAAAAGAAGCCACAAATCTTAAAAAAATTCTCCCCTCTCTCCAGAGTTGAAAAAATTTGCTATTGAAGTACATATACGGTCCTTTAAAGATAAAATAGTTCACAATGCGGCCCTCACAGCAAAAAGTTTGCCCACCCCTGGATTAGACAGTTGAAAATATGACAAAATGACGCTATATATATATATACACATACATACAAACAAACAAACAAACGTACAACTGTTTCAGGACCAGTCTTTTCAAGTAGATTTGATAGATAACAGCCTCAATAAAAATTATTGTCAGTACAAGCATCTCAGTGAGGAGGCGCATAGTGAATCAACGAGGACTGTCTTCCTGAAGGCAAAGTGGAATTAGCAGTAGTCGAGTTCATCTTAGCTAGTTCTGCATTTGATTTTGATTATTATTAATAATTATTATTTTATTTATATTTATTAATTTTTATTTTATTTGTGTAACTTTTGTTTGAGAACGACAAAGAAAGAGAGAGAAAGAGAGAGAGAGAAAATAATGAAAAAAAACACGATAAATAAATTTTGAGTTTATTATCATTAGCTAATATAAAAAATATATTAATAAAATATTGATAAGGTCTGCAAGTTAGTTCACTAGGCAGACGAAGAAGTCTCATATTTGGAGATCTCAAGACCCATCTGTTTTCAAAATTCATTTAGGAGCGCTGTTGAACATCGCGGAAATAGCGCTTTATAAGCTAATTGATTGATTGATTGATACTATTAAGCGATGGTCTGGTGCGAATACTGCCCGTCTGCAATCCAAGTCTTGCGTGAATGTACATCAACTTGTACACATACATACACACAGTGACGCAATGTGTGCGTGCGTGTGTGTGTGTGTGTGTACGCAATGTTGTACAGAGGTTACACTCTTTGCGGTACGAAAGTTTAACTGAAAGAATTATGAAAAAACGTGTCATCAGAGAGGCATAAAAAAGAACAAAAAAAAGTGTCTAATATGACATTAAAATTAAATCTACTTAGAGTACCAAAGTCTTCGGTGTTTATTCCGCCTTTCCAAAGTAAAATAGTATGTAAAGGTTAGCAGTGGTGGTAAAAGTAGTAGCAGCAGTAATAGCACCAACAGCAGCAGTAGTAGTAGCAGTGGTGGTGGTAATATTAGTATTGGTAGTAATAGGGATAATATTAATAAATAGTAGTATTAGTTTTAAATCATAAGGTTATTGGTAATTATTGGTCGTTTGTTAAAGCGGAATTAATATAAAAATAACTTACTGATAAGAAGAAAGAATGAACACTTTGAAACTAATAAGTATTATTTTATTTTCTTAAATTTCCAAATATATCGGATAAATTAATTTAAAAAATAATTTCACAAACAAATTAAATATTTTACACGAGTTTTATACTAACAGATCAACATGCAGCAACAAAATCGAACAGACGTACAAATACATACATGCATACATCAGAGAGTCCTTTAATGCAAATTGCCTATATACTAATTCTCTTGTATCAACAGTATTTAATCACACACGTTTAGAAAATTATTCACTTCCCAATTAATTAATTAATTAACTTATTAGCTCTTGCCTAACTATATCGCTAGCAATGTTTACGATTTTCGCACTATAACCATGTCAGGTTTTTTTGTATAATTAACGTCAGCTTTCAGTCTAATAGCCTATCCTTTATTATGGGTATATCAATTATTTAATTAAGCAATTAATTTTATCTGTCGAAACACTCATCCCTGCTGTATTATGCCAGGTTGCATTATGATGAAGTTCATATTCAACCATGAAGTTGTATCATAAACTGAGCCGTTTACAGTTTAATAAAAAAAAAATTTGTTTTTAGGTACGTGTCGTTCAGTGGCTCCGAATGACGCAACGCTCCATCAAAATGTGTGTACGCACTTATTCTGATAACTAAAAAAAACTACAAAAAATTAAGTACCAAATGTTACACCTAAGTACAAAAATACATTTATACCCGATGCCATACTACACAAATTATTTTTACAAATTTTCAAACGTTTCATGTTTGACGACTTTGTTTTTATATACTAATCTGACCTTCCTATCTTAAAATCAACTAGCTGACTTCTTTCTGATATGGTTCTACGATTTTGAGTGACTCTTCTCAATATTTCTTTACAACTGTACGCAAAACAAGACAAGAAGTTAACAAACAAAACGTACATTGTTTATTCTGACAACCAGAGGAACAATATAAAAAGGACAAAAAAAAAAAAAAACAAATACCACGTCGTTTCTGTGCGATATGAGGTGCTGCGATATTTATTATTATTATTGTTATTATTATTATTATAAAAATCTCACATCGCATTATGTAGTCTCTTAAAAATACTAATTAAAAGTTTGCTATGCCATTGTTATTATCATTAAATGAACATTTATCCGAATATTATGTACGATAATGAAAAATATAATTTGGAAATCTTTCAAATTGGACATTTAAATAAATTAATAATAAAACAAATAGATTAATTAATTAATAATACTGGAATGTAATGAATTTGTTTGAGACCAAGCTGAGATCCGTAAAATAAAAAAAAATAAAAACAATGTCAAAAAATGAAATGCAATGATAAAAAACGCAACTGTATAAAATCAATTTCGAACATCATTAACAAGTAGAATATAAAATTGAACATATAGTAAATATGATAAATATAAAACAAACACACGCACACACACACACACATATATAAATGAATAAATTATGATAACAAATAATAATTCATGAACTACAAAAATAAATATGCAGGGTACATTCACATCCCATCTAAATTTGGATATTTTTAAAAATACATATACACGAAAATATATAAATAATTATAAATATGTATGTATTTATTCATTTATAAAGATGTATAACATCATAAAATGTCATAAAGATTGTTAATTAGTCTTTCAACAACAGTAACAATCTACAATAACCAAAAAATCATTAAAAACCAAAAAAAAATTCTTTTTTTGTTCAACAACATGATAAATAACAAAATATACCCAGAACCCCGTGACGTCATCACTCATTCGTAATACGGTTTAAAAGCAAGGAAAGATTTGATCTGGGTAGGTATGGGAAGTTTTTGGACATCTTGGAGGTCAAACCTGCTCCTAATTGCCTCCCTACATAAACTTTTCAAATCAATTGCCATTGGAAGTCTATACAAATGCACCCCGGAGACCTGCTGGTAAAATGTGCCCTGCTCTCCATAGGCCACTGCCAAACTTTCGCCAGTATCAGAAAACAATGGGAAAATAGCGGCAGGGGAGAGTGTTGGGACTTCCGCGAGGTACTCCGTATCGATTTTGTGTACGACGTTTAATGTGTCCCCGGAGTATAATAAAATTTCAGGAAAATTGAATAGTCCATCTTTGACTGAGAGGCCAAGGATTAGTGAAGCTATGTATCGACCGTCTGGACTATAGAGGATGTTGTGAGTGGTCTGGTACAGTTCGGTGTTACTCTCGAGAATTATTTTGTTGAATTTCAAGTCATAAATGCACAATATGTCCGTGTTATTTTTCGAGTAGTTGGCCAGGGCCACTCGCGACCACTGATATCTTGGGTCATAAGAGACAAAAAGTCGGACTGCCATGTTTGGAAATAGGTTGCTTATTATTCTGTAATGTGTAATGTACCTTTTTTTCAATATTTATCATGTAGTTAAGTTTATAAAATATTGCATCACAAAACATTGCATTACACACGCCTATTCTTAATAAATTTTAATAGAAGTGTTCAAAGTGATCAAATTATTTTTAGACACATTCATATCTACATTGTTTTAATTTGCAAAGTTTAATTTTTAATAATTTGTAATAGATAAATTAAAATAAGAAAATTATCAATCATTAAAATTGAGAGAAAAAAAAACCAAAAAGAACCTATTTTCTTTGAGAGAGAGTAGAGACATGATATTTTTGAAGTGCTCCCTACAGAAATTCAGAGAATACATGGCGTTTGGTTTGATGATGAACGAGCCAAGATCAGGGCTTATGATGCAGTCGCAGAGGTAATGCTTCCCTGTCTCCAGCTCCTCCTTGTGTATGGCCAGGATGGTGCTGGTTTTCATGTGGATTGCTACAAATTCCATCACATTGTTTTTACAATTCAACTGCAATATTGCTATTCCCTTTCTGTATCCAACAACCTTGCATGGAGCATTTAAAAATTACTCATTTTAGTTTTATTCCAATAAAATCTTATAATAACTTTGAAATTTTTATTTTTTAATTTTTAACATGGCTTTGAAATTGAAATTCTATAATTGTTGATTTCGGACGTTAGTTTTATTCCAAATTAAAATATAGAAATTTAAAAAAAATGTTTTTTAAATAATAAATTTTCAAAAAATAGTCTACCTGTGCAGGTTTCAAGTAGTGGCCGGCCGGCTCACTTTCTCTGTAGAGTCGACTGTAATAATCTTGTGGCAGTATGATGTATGTGTCCTGCCTCAAAGAGGTTTCTAGCAAAGTCAGCAGATAGTAAGGCCTTTGATGGACTTTCGTCGGAGAGTCATGACTGACCTCGTAATGTCTGCCGCCAGTACACCATGGCTGCAATCTGCTCTTGACGTTCGTTGTGTAATCCACCCTTGGTTCAAAGCCCCAGAGAACTGCCCCATACCTCCATGTCGTCAGGGGCTCCGTAGTTATTTTACTCCATGGTACATTCTTTTTTTTAAATGGCATCGACGATTCACAGCAAGCGAAACCTGCCGGATGACTGAGGGAGCAGTGTGGGCAAGCTTCTCCAGAATTTGTAGGCCCCGATGCTGACTGGAGGTCTTTCTTGCTAGTCGTAACCCCCATTTTATAATATATTTTTCTATCTATTTATTAATTATTTTATTTTATAATAAAACGTTTGTTTCGAGATAATGTAACAAGCGGTAGCAATTGATCTTTCATTAAAAAACCTGATTTGAAAGCATAAAATACAAAAAAGGCGAAACACGATGACGAAAAAATAACCAGGTCAGATCAATCAGATGTTTTTCGTAGTTTCTGGGTCAGGTCTCATTTAACATGATGACCAAAGAAGATTAAATGTTTTTATCTGTCCTAAGGGGAGGCCTATTTACCATTAAACAACACTTTCTTATGGGTTGAAGCAGGGATATGCAAAGAATCTCAATTTTTGCAACTTTTAATTATTTTCGGTAATCTCGATTTTATTTGTTTAAATTTATACCAAATAAAAGTAATTAATTACCATATTGAATAACAATTTAAAAAAATAAAATTTTAACATTTTAAATAAAAGCAATATTCCGTAATTAGTAAATATACTATCGTAACTTTTGACTCGAACCTCACCCTCCATCTTCCCTCCAGAAGTAAGCTCCTTGTTCAACCGTTGAAAGTGAGCGAAGGCCGTTATATTTATTCTAGTTATATGTATCAAACAGTATCTTATTGAACAAAATAGTATCATAAAATAAATAAAGATACTTTTTTTAATATAAAAAATTCTCAATTTGATTTCATTGCGATATCGATGATGATGATGATTGTGACCTGACTAATTAAAAAACATCAAATAAAATTTATAATAAATTATAAATTTGAACTGCGTGCGCACATATGTAGCACTGATTACTGTTGCGTTTATAATGAATTTATATACTATATATATACAAAATATTTTGTTCTTAGATAGTTTGGATCTTGCCTACATGAAAAGGAGAAAAGCTGAAAATTTGTCTAATCTGTCTGATTTAAATACAGATACTTCTGAAACAGAGAAGAAAAAAAGACGGTATGGTATATTTTTGAATTTGTTAATTAAAATTCAATGATGTGTTTTGAGAGAAATAAATTACTCCATAATTGTAGGAAAGTCTGTAGGAGGGTCTATGATTCCAGCGATGAAGAAATACCCACAAGAAAAGTTGGCGCTAAGAAAAGGAAAGAAAGGTGAATTTGACCTTATTTAATAATCTTTGTTTTAGTCTAAATTTCCTATTTCTTTATTGGCAGTATTGAAGAGCCAAGTGATTTGGAACATTTATTCAATTTGGACAATCTACCGACTTTCCCATCTACTTCACAAACCCCTAGGAATAAAAGTTGAATTTTTTTAACATTAAACAAATTAATAATTATACATATGTATCAAATATTTCAAATTTAAAGGCAGTTCAGGCATACAAGGACCTTCATGTTCGTTTGTCTATGATACTCCCATAAATCAAAGTATGAAATTAATTTTGTTAATGTTAGATTTTTTTATATAAGGTTACACATCAGGTCAAGAAATATTTTATGAGTCAACAAGGTATATTCACACCCACTTCACAAACCCCTAGGAATAAAAGTTGAATTGTTAACATTAAACAAATTAATAATTATACATATGTAACAAATATTTTAAATTTAAAGGCAGTCCATGTATACAAAGACCTTCATGTTCGTTTGTCTATGATACTCCCATAAATCAAAGTATGACATTAATTTTGTTAATGTTAGATTTTTTATAAAAGGTTTATATTACTAAATTGTAGGTAATCGATGTTTGGAGAAAACTATCGCTTCAAGTCAAGAAATATCTTTTGTAAATCAACAAGGTATATTATTTCATTATTGAAAATCTCGAATTTATTGATTATATCATATGTATTTTTTTCAACAGAGTCAAGGTTAGAAAGAAAAATAAATTCCGTATTACAACAGATGTCCAAAATGAATGAAGATATTCAAAAAATGAAAAAAGATATTCAAAAAATGAAAGAAGATATTCAAAAAAGGAATGAAGATATTCAATTAATATTTGATTTATTAAAAAGTAGTAATGTGACACTTGATAAAAAAATAATTAAATTGTCTTACCTTCCCATTGATACAATGGAGAAGTTATATGAAGTTAATAATAATGTGCAGAACAATGTGGAGTTTGCTAATTTGGTTAGTATATGTATTACATTTCTTTAGACATGCAACACCATATTTTAATAATTTTTTAATTTAGGTGGATCATTTATGCACACTTGGTGGACAGAATGTAAAAGATTGTGTGCATCGAATGATGAAAGCATTGATGACGCACCAAGTCAGCCTCAACATTACATGGATGGGCCAGAAAAAAGAAAAGGAGGGCTGGTCAAGACTTCTACTTCGAGATGCCCTGATTAGTCAGTATTTTTTCCTGTTTCAAAAATTAAAATTTCTATTTTCTAATAATTAACGTTTTGTTTATTGTCTTTTTTTCTAGGATTAGATTTAGATTTCAATGTAATCAGTTTATTTTTCATTAACTCCTCCAGATGCCATACAAAAAAATCCAAGGACTGGGCATGCCACAGAGGCAGATTGTGATGTTGAGGTGAAAAAATGGCTTCGGAATGCACCGGACAGATATGGTGGAAGAGCCAAAAGGGAACAAGCCAAAAGCAGCACATAGATACCAATTGTTTATATATATATATATATATTTATATATATATATATATATAATGAAATTATTAATTAAATGAAAATGAAATACTGACTTCAATTCAATGAAATACTGAATTCAATTATTAATTTGTTTCTTAGAGTATATATATATATATATATATATATATGTATGTATGCTTGTATGTGTATATATATATGCATCTGATAATGTGCATTGTTTCTTACTTTGTTGGTATATATATGTTCTAAATTTATCATTTACTTTTTTTAATTTATTTTTTGTTATCAAATTTTATTCATCAATCGTTTATTTTGTTTAATTTTAGATTTTCTGTTACTGTTACTAAACTAAATTATTTATGTTCTGGTTTTACCGGGAAATTTACTATCTGAATATATATATATGAGTGTATGTATGTATATATATATATATATGCTTGATATTTTGCAGATAATAAAAATAATAAGATGTTATTGTCTAATATGTAACATTTATTTAAAAAGTGGGCCGATGTCGGCAGTAAAATTCGGACCTATACCGGAATGATTACGGGTGATGGTAATAAAATCCGGGTCGATGCCGGATCGAATACGGGTGCTGGCAATAAAACCTGGTCCAGCGCCGGCGCGAATAAGAGTGCTTACGATAAATCCGGGCCGATGCCGGCGCGAATACGACTTGTTGGCGCAAAAATCCGGGCCGATGTTGGCGTGACGATTACGAGCCGGCGCCGTAACTTTTTTCACATCCATCTCCGTTTTGCTGCTGTGGACCGTCAACAAGCCGGCATTCGGCCAGCATTTTACCGGAAAATTTTGCTATCTGGGTTGCAGAAAAATTTGAACTGCGTGCGCACATATGTAGCACTGATTACTGTTGCGTTTATAATGAATTTATATACTATATAGTCTATATAAAGCGAGCAAAATTTATATAGAGTCATATAGTGCATAAATCCTATATAGAGCATAAATCCTATATAGAGCATAAATCCTATATAGAGCATAAATCCTATATAGAGCATAAATCCTATATAGAGCATAAATCCTATATAGAGCATAAATCCTATATAGAGCATAAATCCTATATAAAGCATAAATCCTATATAGAGCGTAAATCCTATATAGAGCATAAATCCTATATAGATACCTTTCTTTGAGGTTCTTTTCTTTGCCGACCGGTCGGCTTCTTTGCGTTTCTCTATTTTCATTTAAATTAATTAAATAAATAAGATTTTTCCATTCATTTAGGTTTATTCAGGTTCATTCATTCAGGTTGAGGCTTCCAGAGGAGTTCATCGTGGAAGATCAGAATGATTGTGATGTCACGCTACGTTCGTTCATTCAGTGGCAAACAATGCACGCTTGGCTGGGGTTCGTTTTACGGTTTCTTTGCGGTTCCTTTTTTTGCCAGTTACAGGCTGTTGCGGCTGGCGGGTTTCACCGCGGCTCGTTTTTCTACTTTCATTTAAATAAATTAAATAAATAAGATTTTTTCATTTTATTCATTTCATTCAGGTTGAAGTTTCCAGAGGAGTTCATCATGGAAGATGTCAGGCTACGTTCATTCAGTGGCAAAGAACACACGTCTGGCTGGGATACGTTTTATTCTTTTTTCTCTGTTTTTCTATCTAATTTAACATTAAGTAAGAATGCATACACGCACACACATACACACACAATTACATTAAGTAGCTATATAGGTAGGTTAGATAGGCATAATTTTAACTGTAGGTAGGATAGATAGGAAGCATCCAACACTAATGTAGTTGAATAGGTAGGCGCGTAAGTTTATCTCTTCTGTTTTTTCTTGCACCAACATTACACGCATCAGCGTATTACACACACACACACACAAATACATACATAAACACATATGTTAGTATTTGAGCGTAATTTTATTTCTATTACACATTCTAATTTATTATTACTAAGGTTGAGAGTAATTTAATTTCATAGGTAATTAAGGGCAATAATGTAATTCTAGGAACAATCTTGTAATGTGAATTAAAACGCTGTAAGTGTATCGATAGGTAGGCTAATATAAGTTTTACATTATTATTATTATGTTGGAGCCCAAGGCATTACGTAGGTGGTGGGGTGGGCGCCGATTGGCTAAATGAATTGGGCTCTTGAGTTTTGTAATTTTAGGTAAGCTAGGACCGTAATGTAATGAATAGGTAAGTTAAGGCTACGTTGTAACACATACTCATTAATAGATTTAGGGTTTAAGTTTTATATTATTATTACTAAGTTGGAGCCCAAGGCATTACGTAGGTGGTGGGGTGGGTGCCGATTGGCTAAATGAATTGGGCTCTTGAGTTTTATAATTTTAGGTAAGCTAGGGCTTAATTGTAATGAATAGGTAAGTTGAGGGTACGATAGCCGATTGACTCTGGATTTCAAAGTCTCTTGTCAGAGGTAAGCCTTGGTGGCCAGTGGTGAACCGGCAATGGTTTACTATCCGGACGGCAATGGTTTACTATCTGCACGGTAATGATTTACCATGCGGCACGGCCATAGTCTACTACCCGCACGGCTTCCGGACGGCAAATGGTTTTCTATCCGCACGGCAATAGTCTACTATCCGCACGGCAATGGTTTACTATCCGGTGCCCTGGCTGTCGGTGAACCTCTGTGCAAGGAGGGAGAATGAAGGGGGACTTTCAACTATCGTACCATTATTAATTTAATATATATTAGTTAAGGTAATTGAATAGGTAGATAGGATTATTTTTATTAAGCAATTTGAGATGCAGGCACCGCTAAGCTTTCTGATGAGAATCTTCTCTTTATTTTTCTTCTTCAATACGGGCTGTGTTTCATCAACAATCTCGGGAGGACTGGAGGACAACGTAGGAACCGGACCGCATTCAACATTCTGCCTTTGTCGAATGGACGACGGTAAGTTTTTTTTTTACATTTTACACTCTTTATTATTTTAAAATACTATTTATTTGCCATTATTTTCATTTAAAATTTTTTTGCCTTTAAGATTCTAACATTTACTACGCTAATAAAAAAAATTGTCTACAGAATGATGAGAGGTGGGTAGTGGTGGGCGTCAGCACGTTTCAGATGGTGGTCTCTCGTGATGATTTACGTATGAGGATGGTGGTGGTGTAGGAAGAATCAGCGCGCTGGTTGTTCGACTGACACTTTGAAGTTCGAATGGCATCTTGTGGTCGGTGCAATGGAGTACAGTAACTAAGATTTTTGAAGTAAGGAAGGTTTAGTTTCGTTTTTTTTTATTTTTCTCATTCATTCATTTTTCACTCAATCTTTCAAATTATTCTTTCATTAATTGACGTTAATTCATTCTATTCATTCATTCATTCTTATAACTAATTATTTAATCATTCAGTTAATCATTTATTCGTTCGTTCCTTTGTTCCTTGATTTACTACTAAGCTAATAAAAATAACTTTTCTACAGAATGATGAGAGGTGGGCTGTGGTGGTCGTCAGCACGTTTCAGATGGTGCTGACGACCTAACCGTCTAATCAGACGATTTTTGAAGTATGGTTTGTTTCTTTTTTTTTCATTCAAATTATTCTTCCATTAAATGATTCATTGATTCATTCTATTCATTCATTAAATCATTTATTGGTTACTTAATTAGTTAATTAATTAATTAATTCAGCCAATCATTCAATCATTCAGTTAATCATTTATTATTTATTAATCAAAAAAACTTGTCAACAGAATGATGAGAGGTGGGCGTCAGCATGTTTCAGATGGTGGTCTCATGATGATCGTTCCGATGACAATTTGAAGATAATATAAAAGAGAAATTTGTTTTTGTCCCATCGTACCATTGAAAGTACTCGAATTTGTCATTTCAGTAAGTTAAGTTGCCTATTTTTTTCAGTGGCTTGTTTTTTATTTTAAAGACTTAATTGTTTTTTCTCAATTTAGTGTTTTTCAGTATTCGGTCAAATTCATTCCATCGATGCCTGTCAGATGATGGTTGGTGCAATGGAGGTTCGTCCGTAGTGAGTGAAGAAGTTTCTGGAGAATACACGCGAACATTTACACACACACATCAATACAACACACACATACGCAACATCCATTCATTCCGTGTTGTCGTTGTTGTTATGTTTCTCTTCAACTTTCTATTTTCTTTACCGGACTTTAATTTAATTCGTAGGTAAGTTAGGGATTGAGATGAGTTGAACAATCGTAGGCAGGCTAGGGCTTAACATTAGTTAAAAAGTTTCAAGTAAAAAAGACGCTGAAATATGTAAAATAAAATACCTAAAATATGTTAAATTCCAAAAACGTAGAAATACATATTTGTAGGTAGGTGAGTTGAGTTAATGATTATAAGTAAGCTAGGGCCCTGAGAGTAATTTAATTGTAGGTAGGTGACTGACTACTATTCTTGCGACTTCTTACTAGTTTCTTGTGATGTGTTTGTTTTCGCTTCACAGCCCCACACCAACAAAACAAACTACATTTTATTCTCGTCGTCGCCTTAAATTTTACCATTTTGAACAATCTTTTTAATAATGTCTATTTATTTATTTATTTATTTATTAAATGTTGACTGGTTTCTAGTTTTTTTAATTTGGTTATATAATTTTTGGATATTTCTTGATTTAATAAAAGCATGTTTTATGTTTTACTTTCTTTACTAAAATCTCGAAATTGTTTGTAGATCTGTACAGTTAAGTGTTTGTTCGAGTTTGGACAAGCCTTGCAAATATTTTTCAAATATGGTTCATTGATTGGTTAGCTGATTAGTTGATTGAATGAATGGTTGGTTGATTGATTGATTGATTGATTGATTGATTGATCTCATAGTATTTTATATATGAAAAAAAAATCCGATTAAGCCAACATACGGCTTTACTTGGCCACTGTATTTTACCAGAAAAAAGCAATTTCTTTATTAATATTGACAAAAATAATTGTGAAATGAATATATTGACTTATTTAAAGCATTATATGTAAAGAAAACCGCCATGACACTGTTGTATGAGACCCAGTAAGCCACTG